CCCTACAACAACCAGCATGCACTGCGGCACATTGGACTGATAGACCGAACCACAATGTTTGTTTTACAAGATCTTCGGTCAGGGTACCTTCAGGCAGTTCGTTTTTTTCGTTTTAAACCAAAAACGAAAAAACGGAAATACCATGGTTTCCCCATTTTTTCCTTTTTGGTTTAAAACGAAAAAACGAGAAAACGGAGCCGTTTTTCCGTTTTTATTATCAGAACCAAAAAACGAAAAACGACAAAACCAAATTCAAATAACAGCACGATTTTGTTTTTGTTTTGCAGATTCATTTTTTCATTTATTGTTTTGGACAAAAAGTAGAACTGCGGTGACATCAGAGGCGGAAGTAAATAAAAGACAGGAAGATAAGCTTGCCTAAAACTTACAAATATCCTATAAAACTTTCCCATGTATCTTTTATTTCCACTTACACCTGATGTTTTGCGCATTTTGAAAAGCTGCCTGCCATTGCTGTGAGGAACTTTTTATTCATAAAAATAGAAATAAAATGTTATGATCGCAAATTTTATGGCTACAGTAAAACTTGTTGTTCAACCATAACGTTGCTGTTCAGAGACTAATAAGGGAAATCGTCATATTGTTCCCATGAAGGACATATAGGGATTCTCTCAAAGGTTATGTTTTAATATTCATTCGCCGAATTGTTTGTCTTGTTTGTCTTTATTGTTTGCAATAAAGTAATCGAGGATATAATAAATGATTGTGTGTGCCGCGTTGTTACTGTTACTGTAGCGATGAGGAAACTGCACCTCATTGGGAGGTTGACATAAAAAAGTTTAAATTAAAATAGGAAAGGTTATTAGAACGTAACATAGCAGCTCCTTCACTTGCCTTCATATGAACATTAAAGGTTCCTCATCACATTCAAATGTTCAATAGTAGCTAAGGTGTTTGTATTCATGTATTTATTAGTTTATTTGTGAGGGACATTGCAAGAAACACTAACTGGTTAAAGTAATATGAATCAGATGTGTTGCATACAGTTAGGGCTGCCACTAACTTATATATTTTTAAAAAATATTACTGTTACTGTTAACACTGGTTTTCTCCATAACGCATCGTTGTGTCAGTGAAGTGTCAAGCTGATGTTTGTCCTTTTTATCAGCAGATGGCAGTAGGCCTATGGATTTATTTGCTGTCGTTGAATGCCTGGTTTTCTCTTAGTTTCTATTGGATTATACAGACCTGCAATTCTTCAGGTTATTGATACGGACAGTTCAAATTATATGCAGCAGATATTTACTTGTATTCTTTTATATTGTTGTATCACATAGGCATATGCATTGTTGGCAGAGATGGGCAGCATTTTAATTACATGTATTTAAAATGTTTTATCACCTACTATGACAATAGAAATGTCATACAAAAATACATCCTGTGCCTTTTTTCAAAATCTGATTAATCGAATAAAATAAACAATGATTAATCGATTATTTTTAAAAAATATATAAGTTAGTGGCAGCCCTAACTGTATGCAACACATCTGATTCATATTACTTTAACCAGTTAGTGTTTCTTGCAATGTCCCTCACAAATAAACTAATAAATACACGAATACAAACACCTTAGCTACTACTGAACATTTGAATGTGATGAGGAACCTTTAATGTTCATATGAAGGCAAGTGAAGGAGCTGCTATGTTACGTTCTAATAACCTTTCCTATTTTAATTTAAACTTTTTATGTCAACCTCCCAATGAGGTGCAGTTTCCTCATCGCTACAGTAACAGATAACAACACGGCACACACAATCATTTATTATATCCTCGATTACTTTATTGCAAACAATAAAGACAAACAAGACAAACAATTCGGTGAATGAATATTAAAACACGACCTTTGAGAGAATCCCTATATGTCCTTCATGGGAACAATATCCATGACGATTTCCCTTATTAGTCTCTGAACAGCAACGTTATGGTTGAACAACAAGTTTTACTGTAGCCATAAAATTTGCGATCTAACATTTTATTTCTATTTTTATGAATAAAAAGTTCCTCACAGCAATGGCAGGCAGCTTTTCAAAATGCGCAAAACATCAGGTGTAAGTGGAAATAAAAGATACATGGGAAAGTTTTATAGGATATTTGTAAGTTTTAAAAAAAAAAATATAAATATATTAAAATTACTTCCGCCTCTGATGTCACCGCAGTTCTACTTTTTGTCCAAAACAATAAATGAAAAAATGAATCTGCAAAAAAACAAAATCGGGCTGTTATTTGAATTTGGTTTTGTCGTTTTTCGTTTTTTGATTCTTATAACAAAAACGGAAAAAAGGCTCGTTTTTTCGTTTTAAAAAAAAGGAAAAAACGGGATAACCATGGTATGCCTGAAGGTACCCTGACCAGTCAGCTGGTGACAAACCATCTCAAATTGCCGTTAAACAGTGAGCTAAAGTATTCTTCTGAAAACATCTGAGGTGAGAAATAGGCAGCACAGAAACAGAATCTTGTTTAATATTTGATCAGCACTGCTTAGTTTTAAAATCTTGCTCTCATTTTTTTCAGCCTCTGTTTTCACAAGTCAGGAAACAGCATGGTGTCCACTTCTTGCATTACAGTCTAGTCTGGGGCCGTTAGTGGCCGTTTTGGTAAGGAACCGGAGCCAGGGCAAGTGAGACGGGATCCGGAATTCGATGGATGCGCCTTTCCGTCAAAATAAAAGCACCAAGCTAATAAAAATGCGTGAAACTTTTAAATTTAAAGAATAGAATTTACAAGAAAAGCTCCACGCCATTAAGTTAATCAATTTTCTTACACCCCTCCTCACCCCAAATCGATGGTGCGCCAGAATTTAAAGTTTTACTTTGGTGAATTTGGTGAATTCCGCATCCGCTCTCTATACCGGAACCAGAATCCAGACAAAATTCAGAGTGAATAGAAACCAGGCTCTTCGCCTTATCTGAAGAGCCTGGTGACGTGAGGCTAATTACAGTCAAACAGTGCACTAAAAAATGTTTCTAAAGAGATTTTAGGCAACAGAAGGCTTCTAATTTCCACATAGATGCCCAGCAGAGATTCCAACACGCTCCTAAAGTTAAACAGTTAACAGATGAGAGCGATTTGTTGCATTATTTAACGTGTTTAATAAATGTTGATTATAGTAGTTTGATTTCTACGGTCCAGACTGACGATGCCAGTGATAATGTTCTGACAATATTTACAGGTTACAACAAAAAACTTCAAATATGGTATGGCAAAAAGGCCTAGGAAATAGGTCAGTTTAGAAAGAGCAGAATGTTCCAAAACAATTCACACGTACGCACACACAGAATGTTTGGTAAACTGTTCTGGAGGGCTGGCTCATTTTTGCCGTGTGTGAAGTTGTAAGCTGTCTTCAATTAAATACTAGCGAAAGGCTGTGAACCAACCTCGAGTCATCGAGTCGTTTTTTTCAACATAAATCAAATACATATTAGGCTCAACTGCCAAATACTAACACTACGTAATAAAAATGGCTCCTACAAGAGCAATGCAGTAATAAAATATTGCTTTGTATTTGATCAACACTGCTTAGTTTTACAGTTTGATTGGAGTTTTGTCTGAATCTTTTGGTGGCGGGCATTTTGAAAATAACAAAGTTACAATCCGTAGTTTGGGCAAAAACCTTAGAGCCAGCTATCTTGAGCGGATTTAAGCTGGGAGAACTGAGAGCTGGTAAGATGAAGGTAAGTTTACCACAGCTCATTTACACATACTACCCACATTATTATTATTATTATTATTATTATTATTATTATTATTATTATACAAAGCTGGTTGAAAATTGACAAAGTGTCCCTTTAAATATCAATGTACACAAGTGGAACAGCATCAGCATCAGCCCTTCTGTCCAAACAAACAATTATTTCAATTTCTATAGATTGCACTTTTCAGTCTGTTCATACAACTATCAATTACCGTAACACTTCAATTAAAAGCCTGGTCCCAAATAAACGCCCAGTCCCAATTACTGGCCTGGTGTGGCTGCACTTTGACAAATAAACACCTGTCTCAATTAGAAGCCTGGTCTTGCCAACTCCTTAATTTTTTTTATAGAAGTGTTGTTGTGTTGGTATGCTAGGTGCCGTAATCCTCAAGGGCCATAACTCATTTTTTTGTCTCTCTGACGCTCTGTCTGTCAGAGAGAGATCAAATTAATCAGATTCATAATTGATATGTTATCTGAAGCCTAATTTTTGATTGTATCTCTTGATCTTTGCTGAGCAACAGCAAAGAATTAAAAGCCTGTCCCATACAGACACCTTTCCCATATTGAGGCCTGTTGATTTCAGTGATTTAAGCAAATAATAGCCCAGGCTATTAATTGAAATTTCACGGTACAACCACCTTCCTTCTTGCAGCCCACTTACAATTACCCAGAAAAAGGACAAAACTCAGAAAATTAAAGACATTTGATAAAACAATAAAAAAAAATTCTATGGACACCATGACACATGCAACAACCCATTTAGGGTTACATTAAATAAATAGCCTGCCGCTTTTTACAGAATCAACATCACCAAGGTAACAAGACTAAGATGTATAAACATGCAAGTCAAAGCAAAGGAGAGACTCAATTTATATACACCTGCTTAATAAAAGCAGAAGTTGCTGCTGGTGGTATTTTAGTGTGTTGGTTACACCCAGCACGCAACTGGGTCAGCAACAGGTGTGTTGATTTGGGTAACTTAGCTTTCTCACCGGGTGGTACTTTAAATCAGTGTTTAATTAAGGTAGATGCAACCCTTTTTAAAACTTTGCCAGGGTATGATAATGGTGACAATATCCCGTAAGGAAATTATTCAAAATCGTACTGCATTGCTGTGCACTTTTGGTTTTGTTAACTAAGTCCTAGCATTAACCTGACTTTCATGTAATAGTTCCCTGCAGATACATCTAGAAATGTACCTAAGTACAATCCTTGTGATAAAAGGGTATGATTTAAAAAAAAAAAACTCAACAAAAACAGTTAAAAAAATAGTACAAGAAAAAAAGAAGTACAAGAACTCAAAACAAAAGGGAAAAAAAGCACAACTTAATTACAGTAACAAGAGTAAATGTAATTTGTTATTTCCCCTGACATTATATAAAATTAAAAATACAAAAATTGCAATTCAGAAGGAAATTATATATCTGTACATCACACCACCCCACAACCAAAGATGTAATTCAGTTAACATGTCAAACAGTATACATAATCATATAACAGCAGAATCTTGTTCTCTCTTTCGAGGGATATTTTTTCTAGCCGTAGCTGTTGAGGTCATTTCTACAAAAAAAAGTGAATCTCCTTGCAGTTTCACACTGCATTGACTGACAACAGAATGGAAGAAACTCCCCCTGTGCTTGATAACAACAGTGTCTAGTGTATAAACCATCCCAGGAGTCATTTTGAGACTGATTAACATGTTTTTGTTAAACTAGCTGTCAGAAAGAGCAGAACCATGGCTGCATGCAATAAGCCGCAATCAAGCGACCATTTGAGGTCGCCAGGCAACGTGGGGAGAGTCCAAACTGTACTCAGCCAACATATAGTCCAACGCATTGCCACAAATTTTCATTTTTACACTTTCACTTTTGTTCTGAAACAAACACATGAAAAGTGTCTTATTATTGATTATTATCATCATAAAATGTTGCTGCTTGGCAATTCCAAGATATCGAGGAGGTAATAAGGTAATATGTTAAGTAGTGGTTGTTTGTAATGCCCAACCCCAACATGGCTTGTAGCTGCTTTCAATCCCTTCAGGTGAGGTTTTTTTGTGCTCACTCAGCATTCCATGATTAAAAATTGATTGTCAGTCTAGCCTGTGCATGGGCTGCTGAAGGAAAAACGCAGCACATGGTAGAAACACAGCGATAACATTAACATAACCTCTCTCCCAACAAACATACAACTAACTGCCCTTTAAGGACATATATGGGACAAGATAACGTTAATCATGTTTTCTATAATGGGAGGCTGTGGGTGGAGGCTGTGCGGCAGGTGGTGGGCCAGAACCATCTCCCAGGCATCAATCAGATGAACATTCAGTCCTTTGAATGTGGCTCTGAGCACCTTATCACGCTGCAGAGTGTACCAGTCACTGTTGGTTATTGTCTCATAAAGTGTCAAAGCTTTGGGGTTTCCTGACCGGATGATGACCAGTGTGCCTGGAGCCCTGTCCAGTAGCCGCACCACCGCCCTGCGGATTTTCTGCAGCCGCTGGATGTACACCTCCATGGGGAAAGTGCTGAAGTGAGACCAGATGCCAAGAACTACGACAGTGTTGGTGCCTCCAGTTAAGCCATCTAGTTCATTAGCAATGTAACGAAGCTCACTGGTTGGGACCTTGCCAAAACGGATAGGAGGACCGTGGCAGCGGTATGTGACCATGATGTTGTTTGCATAATTCAAGGCCATGAAAGGTCCAACTTGCCTCTGGCTGTGCAGGTCGAACTCCTTAAGATCTAAAAGTATGACAGAGGGAACAGATTAGTGTGAACAGTGTGAACAAAATCAAACTGTTGCCATAAATCCTGTAGTTCAGCTACCTGGTAGAGCTTGGGTGAGGTATTCAAAAAACTGTCTGATGGTGGAGTCTCCATACATGTGGACCACCTTGCCTTTCAGACACTGACTGATGGCAGGGGGGGTGTTGAACTGGTGAACTGTGGGGCCTCCTAGTGCTCGCCATACACCTTGATAATAATAGCCGGAGGGTCCAGGTGTCAAATAGCTGCTCTTCACCTCTGGCTGACCTGAGAGGAAGTTAAAGGCTAAGGGTGGGGTTAGTTTATATTGTTCTTATTGCAAACAAATCCCATGAAAAAAATATAAAATATAAAATGATTATATAAACCTATTATAGACTGTCTTTACTTATGAGAAACTATAATCCACCAGCATCTGGTGCCGTCTTTATGAACCTTTCATCCAGTGCTCCATGCTCCTGGGGCTCTTCTCAAATTGACCTCTATACATCTCTCTAGAGGAAAACACTACCCAGAGGAAAGTAGTGCCCTTTGTCACGCATGTTTTACTTTCATTTTCTGTCATATTCAGTTTTAAATTATCTTTACAGGCAGTGGTGGCAGTAAATCAGGCTTTACCTTCATTTTCTGGCAACACAGTGACATTGGCAGGTGCTGAAGATCGAATGAAGACTTTCATGTTGGCACCACTGAAGGAAAAGCACACATAAGAAAATATCTTACTGTCAGAGGCAGTAGCAAGTTGAACTCAGCACAGACCCCAGCGCTAGGGGTCACAGCAGGTTGGCTAGCTAACCTGTGTGCATCTATGGTTTTTCCAACCCCCATTTGATTAAAGCAAATCCACATCCAAATGATGAAAATTAGTTGCTAGACAGTAAGGCCTGATGATTGGCAGCCTACTGCTGTCCAATCAAAACAAAATGTATACATTTACAATCCAATATTAATGAATCACAGCGAACACTATCCAGTTTTCTTACTGGTTGGCTGCTGAAGTGAAGTGTCAATGGAAAGGCTCGGAGTTTGCCCTCATTTTGAGATATGCCAGTTGGTTTGTATACATGCAGTATGGGAGAAACTATGGATAATATGTGGAGAAATGTGAAATTTAAAACAATGTAACAGCAGTTTGTGGATATCTGTGGATGTAATCATGTGTTTTACACTGGATATAGATCATCTGAACTACTAGTGTGTGAGAAATGAAATGGAAGCTGTGTAAGCTGTGATTTGGTCTGGAAAATATGATCTGTGGATTATGATAATGCTTTATAGGTGAGTTGTAACTGTTTATTTGATGTTGTTGTTGTTCTTCTTCTTCTTTTTTGTTCAACAGAAGTGTTTATTAAGCCTGCAGTGGTGGTTGTATCTTGAAATGGTCACCATTAATGGCACCGTGAGGAGAATAGCTTTTGAATGATATGTCCTATGAGTAAACCCCTTAAATAACAACAAATACAGCAGCTGTTTTACATATCATAATCATCCAAAATCACCATAGGAGGGTCCACAGGTGGGCTGTCGTATTTCTAACAGTATTATCTTAGACTGTAAACATCTTCAGATTCAATCTTAACTGTAGCTGCAAACTTCTGAAACTCCCCACCAAGGAGGTAACATAGGTAACAGCGGATATATGCATTCATTAGAACAAAATGCCAGTCCTATCTCTCTGTTTCCTCACTTATTAAAGAGCTTGTCCTCGTTGGCCTTGATGTTTTGTTTGTATCCTCCCATCATATGGTCGATCCTGGCATCACAGCTCAGGTTCTTTGGCTTGTAGCAGAACCAAGGCTCGCCTGTACGGAGGTCAGTATAGTTGCACAGCGGCTGGGTTGGATGTAGGCGGACGTTACAGATGCTACTTTCAGAGCGTGAGCCTGAGCGGAAGAGGCTGCTGAAGGTAACCCTGTCAGGATGTTCTCTGGTCACCCTGCTCAGCACTGTGATAGCCTCACTAGAGTGAACCAGCGTCACCTGGTAGGATAGAGAACCAGAGCTTTTGACAAATAATCTACAATTGGTGACAAGAAATGAGACCCTGGCTTCATCTGAAATGGAAAAGGCACGTTGTTTCTAAAATAACTAAGAACTTGGAGTGGTTAATCTGCCACTGTTATATTACAAACTGTATACAGTATGTGCTATGTGAGAAGTGAAAGCTAACAGATGTAGCTACAGTAACTACTCTAAAGAGAAGGGGGCTTACTGATCAATCATTTAAAGGACAGATTAAACACCTGCAGTACAACCACATAATTTTTTGCATCACCTCAACCTGTGCGTCTCCTTCCCAGAGTAAAGAGAATACAGCAGAGTAACTCCCATTGAGATGATCCACCACTTGCCCAGCAACACCTGCACCAAGCTTCGGGTTGTGCAGCCGGGCGAGTAAGAGGTCCCCCCCATACTTCTTGGGACGACCCTGGAAGTCACACATTTCTATCATAACCTCCAGCTGATCCCCTACATGCCACTGTCCTCCCCTCCTTGGGAGAATGGTGAAGGTGCTGTGAGCTGGATCACTGGTATTCTCCAGGGAAACAGGAGCTGGCAAAGGTGGAGTTTCAGGCCAAGCAATGGAGTCCAGTAGGAGGCGTTCCTCCACAGCATCCTCAGTGGAGAGTGGCTGGAAGGTGCAGGAGCTGTGATTCTTGGTGAGGTTAATGGAAACTCTCAGGGCAGCAATGGTGGTCACTGCGTGGTGAAACTGGCAGGGGGTCAAGAGAGAGATAGTGACTATAAAATGAATCAAACAAATGTGCTAAAAGGAAATGAACTAAATAAAGTAAATGGGCTAAGAGGGAAGACCATATGAGTATTTTGGGGGGGTAACCACTGTTAAGATTGCCCAAGATTGCCAGAGTTTTTTGTGTGTGTTTCAAGTTCTTGTTCACTAAAAATTCAAGCTATATGTCATTAGCTTAGACGCACCATAGAGGGTGTTGAACTCCTGGTGGTTATGACCGTGGGAGCTTGTCATAGCTAAAAGATTCATTGAATTTGAATGCATACAGATTTGACTGAACCACACTAAAAGTATAAAACATCAGGGAACATAGGCATAGATTTAGAGGGGTGAGTATATTGGGGGTACATGCAGAGGACACGTCATCCTTGATATTTTGAACATGTCTATCTGTCCCCCCAACATGAAAGTAGCAGAGGACTTTTATTATTATTTTTTATTTAATTTAATTTATTTTTATTTATGATGATCTTTAAGACATTTCCACTTTAAACTGATGAGGGAAAGGCACAGATAGGTGCTGGCGAGTGTCTAGTGGCCAGGCTTTGCACCATGGGGCAAGAGACACCATGAAGCCTCAGACTTATGGGACCACCACCTGCAGGGATAGGCATCAGGGTTTGGTGTATTGTGTGCTGGGTGGCAGGCAAGAGCAGGGACCCACACATGCTGAACCCTGGCATCACAGACTGACATAAGGGATGTGGAACTTCACTTCTCTGGTGGGGAAGGAAATGGAGCTGGTGGGGAGGTAGAGGGTACCAACTAGATATAGTTGGGCTCACCTGTATGCATAGCACTGGTTCTGGAGCCAAACTCTAGCAGAGGAGCTGGACTCTTGCCTTTTTCAGTTGCCATGGGTAACAGGGGCAGAGCGAGTTTGGGATGCTCATGAACCCCCGGCAGAACACTGCTGTGTTGTGTAGTTCTCCCTGAGGAACAAGAGAGTCATTGCAGATAATGTGGTCCTGTTGGCTCCATCACACCATGACCTCCAGTATGCACTGGGGTGGTTTGCAGTTGAGTGCGAAGCAGTCCGGATGAGAGGCAGTACCTCAAAGTCTGGGGCCATGGTTCTCTGCTGGAAAATGGTGGATTTTCTCCTCTGGGTTGAGAGAAAGTAACCGCCCCAAGCAAAGTAGTTCAAGTATCACTATCTTGTTGTGAGGGTAGAATGGCGTGTGAGATGGATCAGCAGTTTGGCACAGCCCCAGCAGTGATGCGGGCACTGCGCCAGACCGTCATTGTAAAGGGGGAGCTGAGCTGGAAGGTAAAGCTCCTGATTTACTTGTCCATCTATGTTCCAACCTTCACCTATGGTCATGAGCTGTGGGTAATGACCGAAAGAATAAGATTGTGGATACAAGGAGCTGAAATGAGTTTCCTCTGAAGGAGCTCAGACATCTGGAGGGAGCTCAGAAGAGAGACTGCTCCTTCATGTTGAAAGGAGCCAGTTGAGATGGTTCAGGTATGTGATCAGGATGCCTCCTGGGCGCCTCCTGTTAGAAGTTTTGTGGACACATCCAACTGGTAGGAGGCCCTGGGGCAGACCCAGAACACACTGGAAGGATTATAAGAAGATATACATGATCTATTAATCCCTGAGGAGAAATTCTGTCTTTTCAGTCTGTTGGCATACGCACAGGCCCAAAATACACACACATGCACAAACAGGACCTACACATGCATGAAATGGAAAGATGTCAGAGTGAGGGGGCTGCCCATGGACAGGCATGGCCTGGGAACCCCTTGGCATCCTCCCAGGAGGAGCTGGAAAGAACTGCTGGGGAGAGGGGCATCTGGAGGATTCTCCTCAACCCGCTCCCCCTGAGACACCGCTCCATATAAGCAGCTGAAAATGGATGGATGGATGGATGGATGGATGGATGGATGCCAACCTCCCCTGTTTTAAAAATGTGTGTTTCTCACCCCCTGGTGTTGAAATGAAATCTATACCCTTACCAAAGACCCTCAGTATTTTCACAAACTGATGAGAGAAGTTAGACAACAACTTTAACTAATTTCCCCTGATTAATCTTGACAGATCACAGTGAAGGTGAAAGGTGGTGATTCAGTAGGAATATTAAGCTTTGAACCCGACAAAAATGATGACAGTAACACACACGGAGTCAAAAGTCATATTTAAAGAGTAATTTATAGTCCAACTGAAATCGCATTTAGTCATCTTTTCAGTGTCCAACATTTTGTGGCCATGACTTGGCTTTTCAAAACACTATACATTTGTGATCTATTTGTTAAGATTTATGTCTTCAGTAGGAATGAATGGGAACCAGTAGGATGGTCTTGTCACAAAGGTTTAGAACAATGCCAGCCTTAACCTTTAACTATAGAAGCTGCTGCTGTCAGATAGTCAAGATGCAGGATTAAGAGAGAAAATACTTTAAACTCAAATAAGATTTACTTGCAGTGAAGACATTACTGATATTAGGGTCCCCCTTCAAGCAGTCCCACCAAAGTCAGGTTCTCACCTTCATGTTTTGTAGCAGAATAATTAAGACAGACACAACCAGCAAGAGGAAGATGATGCTGAACTCCCTTTTACAAGCTCTGGCCTTCATGGTTGACGATCAGTCTTTATCTCAGGCTGCCAGATAGAACTGTGACCACTTCCTCTAGCACCTGATGGAATACAGCAAAACAGGGGGAGGGTTAAGTGACACCTTGCTATGGTAAAGAACTTGCTATAATTTAAACTCAGTTACAAAATCCTCAAGTAGTGCAGTATGTGTGGCTTTCAATCACTAAAACTAAACCAAATCCAGCCACTCAGGAAATTCCTTTGATCGATCAACGATTAACCATGACCACAACCAAGACAACAGCCTCTCTCTCATAGATGAAAGGCTCTGACACACCAAGCTGTCGGTTGGTTAAAATTGGACCCTCGTCAGCCCCCATTGTTTGTTTTTTTGGGGCCGATTCAACATCTTGAATCTGCCAGTGGAGCCCGTTGGTGAATGAAATCCCTCTGATTGGCAATTCAGCTCAGTGCACACCATGAGAAGAGAAATGGAAGTGAGTAAAGTAAACCCAGAGATAAAGCCAAGAGGGAGTGAGACCAAAACAAACTTGTTCAGAAACTGTTTGGAACCATGTGAACTTTGAGCCATTTTAAAGTACGTCCTCACCATGTTTCTTTTCACTTAACCACGGTAACTTTACTTGACCAGACCTAACCTCTGTAACTGTACCTTAATTTCGTAACTTTATGTTAAGGATGTAACGTCATTCATGGAGCAGTAATTAACAGGCTATCATATGAATCATTACATTCATGTGCAAATGGTGGGAGAACATGGCTGTTTGCTTTGCAATTAGCAGATGCTGAATTAGGGATGGGAAACGAGAACCGGTTCCTGTTAAGAACTGGTTCCAACTGGTTCAATTCATTGACATCATTGGACTTTATGCTTAACAATTCCCTTATCGATTCTTTTCATTACGCCGAATCTTTACGTCGATGGCGCACAACATGCTCGTCGGTCAGCAGCACGTTCAACAACAAAGAAGACGTAATGGCGGGGAGACACAAGCAGTCGAAAGCAAGGCTTCACTTCATCAAAAAAGACTAACAGTGCGATGTGCAATTTATGCAGCACCGTAATTACATGCAAGGGCGGAAACATCACCAGCTAGGCCTGAATGATATAGCTTCTAAGCATCGCCATCGTGATTGTCTGTGTGTGTGTGTGTGTGTGTGTGTGTGTGTGTGTGTGTGTGTGCGCATCAGGGCCTAACTTTGCCATGCGCGATACAGAGAGCAGAGGAGGATTGTAAGGCGCGACCATGTAGAGACAGAAATAACATGTCGTTGTGTAAACAATATAAGTCATCACGTTATAAGGTGAAACGTTTAAATGTATAACATGCTAAATAGTATGATGTTATCTTATTATATGAAGCGTCTGTCGCACAAAATAATATAGCTTTAGTTTAGCTGTACTCACAAGTGTTTGAATTGACCTGTATATGAAGCGTCTGTAGCGCCAAATAATATAACGATAGTCTCTAAAGAGCTAGAGAAAAGAATTTAGAGTTATCAATTAACCTAGTCCCCAATCTGCAAGTCAACCTAGTCCCCAATCTGCATGTCTTTGGACTGTGGGGAGGAAGCCGGAGTGCCCCGGGGAGAACATGCAAACTCCACACAGAAGGGCTCCCACACCCAGGATCGAACCGGCAACCCTCTTGCTGTGAGGCAACAGTGCTAACCACCACATCACCGTGCCACCCTACTGAAGTCATCTGGTGGAAAATAATGCATCCTTAAAAAAACCTATAAATCACAATATTGATCACTGGGGGCAATTTTTCCCAATATCCTGCAGCCCTACCACCAACATGCTGAAGCATTTGTCGTTGCATGGCATTAAGTGCAGCTGCAGCAAAATCTCAGGAGAGCAGTGCCAGTGACGTATGTCCTGTCCCATGTTAATGATAGCACAGTGCCTTCAGTGACAGATTCTGTAACGTTATTTGATGTAGATAACAAATGCTGTACAAATATTCTTTCATTTGTTCCATTTTAGATGATAGTGGTGGACCAATTTCATATTTGTTTGTTTGTTACACAAGCACTTATCTCTTGTTTAGAATAGAAACTCAATAAAATTTGTGTTGTTGACACCGAAAACCTGTAAGGTCTACTTTTTCTACACAGAAAACTCACAGGGGGAATCGATAAGGAAATGGATAAAGAATCGGATCGATAAGCAGAATCAATAATGGCATTGATATCAATAAAATCCTATCAATTCCCATCCCTATGCTGAATGTTTGGCAGCAAATCCTGCATCCTGCATGCATGCTGTTCTGTATGTACAAATGTACCGTATGTGCTTAAGCCTCAGGAGGGCGATTTTCCTGAGGCCTAACTACAATCGGATGTGTGTACTGTATGTATGCAGACACATAGCAACCTCCTGGCAGGCCAGGCTTTACGAGCATACAGAAAAAATGTTGCCAAGCGTGCAAAACCTGTTTATTGTACAAGTCCTTTTTTTTTTTTAACTTGACCACGTGTACCACAGAATGTCACTGTGAAACCCCATTATTTTAGAGAGTCCACAGGACTGCGCAGAAAGACACTCAGCTGCGACGTTTAGATGAGTTTTATTTGTGTGATTGATGATAACGTTACATTTATAGAATTGGCAGTACATAGCGTCACCTTTAAATTGTGCATCAGTTATGCAACATTAGATTAATAATGGTCCTGGCTGCTGGTTCTCACTGCGGTCAAATGAGCAGTCGTTTGAGAGCACCTGCTAAAACCAGCGACCACTTGGATTTTGATGCTTGTCTGTACAGGTACTTGGAGCAGCCAAAAAGTGCAAAGGAAGGTCTGCATGTAAGCAGTAGTTTCTCACATTTGATATACCAAGTAAAACAACATTATATTGCACATTATATGAAATCTTATTGCAATAATGTTTGACATTATTCTGTTTTTTGTAGTTTTCTTTCTTATAATTTAGAGAAGAGGAGCTCCTGTACAGTTTTGGAGAAATTCAAAGCTGAAATCACCTCAAATTATATTATAACGCATTCACAATTTCCTCATATTATAAATTTCACTTAAAAATCTATAATAGGTTACATGTAATTTTTGAAGGATTCCAGTTCAGGGTGACCCTGACTGCATTCATGTCAAACTTCATTTGGTTTTATCCCACAGCATTTGAGAAATTTAAAAGGAAAGTCGCCTCAATGATATTATAATATTCATAATTTCCTCCTATTTATCATAATCCCCCTCTGAATTCATCTGGTGGGAGACTATGACTATCATATGATGGGGTTTGTTTGAAGATTGCATGTTACATTATGGTTTAGTATGGGTTACTATAGTTCAACAGGTTATGCTGTAAATTATGTTGGTGTATAGTGTTTTAAAATATTGTTCCATGTGCTCTTTTTAACTACACGCACCTGCCCCCATACAGATCTGTGCACGACCCTGGGGGTTAAACCTACATCGTTAAAAGCCTGAGGTTATTCTCTTTCTGCACTGTAAAAAATCCACATTTAAAATAATAATAATAATGATAATAAAATCCCCTCATAATCACTGAAATATGTCTGCAACACTATTGAATCCACATCACACTGTGTTGTTTTCACATACGCCTGATCGAATAGTGTGCCTTTTTCCGTGCTGGTTGTTTGAATGCCTGAGCACACTTTCTCTGTTTGCATATTGTTGGTGATTTGCAAATGTCATCACTGAAATCTTCTACTACTTACTGAATCCAGCTAATCAAGTAACTTGCCTCAATGTTCTTCAAAGACATCAGATAAGACGGTGGTGGTCTGCAAATCACTGCTATTACTATGTTGTAAGTCACGCACTTGTAGACTAAACAATTAAAATGACACCTGTAGGGATGCACCGATCCGATATCTGGATCGAATATTGGCCCTGATATCATCAAAATAGATGGATGGGTATCAGAAAATGCAACCTATGATCCTTTCCCTTTAAATCTATTGCAACGCGAGCTACGTCATACGTCATGGAGCAAAGGAGATAATCTGCTGTGTGCACACTATTTCAACTGCTGTTGCACATTTGTTTATTTTTGTTAAAAATTAATAGTTCATCATTGCATTAATCTGTTTCATCTTGTTTCATTTTATCTTAGGAAAGACCTGTGTAGTCATCAATACCTGATGCCTCTAGTCTTTTCTCTTCTACATGTAAAGGTATATAGCTTTCTAGGTCAACCATGGCATCGGATCAGCCACAGCATTGAGATTGGTATCGAAACTGAAAAAGCTGGATTGGTGCATCTCTAGACACCTGGTAGCCTACCATGAGAGTGCAGCATATCAGACTGTCTGCACTTCACATGCAAACACTACTATGTAGTTGCAAAGAAACCAATGTGGATTCTTGCTCTTGTGTCGTAAACTTGACAGACTTCTCTCTAACCATTAGCAGGAAGCAAGTCTGGTTCCTGTAACAACAACAGAGATAACAGAACCAATTTTTTTTTCAACCTGGACCCTATTTTCCGATCTACTTTTGTCTAAATGAGTGATAGGATGTTCAATATTTGACATTTCTCCAGTACGAAGCTCGGGCTGACCTGCCTGCAGCCTGTGAGCGCACACTATATTAAATAATAGGGAATTCAGACAGCGTCAAATGTTAAAATACATCCACTAAAAGTGCTTTTTCTTCACACAGATAGGCTCGTTAGTATAATTATCCGACAACATAACGGAAAGGAGAAACGTCTGTGTTTATCTTTAGCTGGATTCGGACATGTTCCTCTGCCTGTTGCAATTTTAGTATATGTGCTACCCAGTGTTGGGACTAACGCGTTATTAAGTAACGTGTTACAGTAACTACATTACTTTTGCGGTAAAGAGTACTGTAACTAATTACTTTGTCAAAATCAGTAACGCGTTTATCATTACTGCGATTTAAACAGGCTCGTTACTCGTTACTTCACGTGCATAACTCAGGACTACAGTTTCCGTGGTGGACGTGAAGCGCACGTGACGCAGCGACGTGCAAGTGAATGAATGAAAACAACGATGGCGGCAGTCGACAACAGTCCAGGCGTGGGATTTCTCTCGTGGAAATATGCACATTATTTTTCCTTTCTGAC